GTTACTCATCTCATCCTATCAATATGTTTTGTTTGTGTAAATCTTGGAAACTAAGAAGCATCATGATATGCTAAAACTTTTTTGGGTCTATGATGGTATACCATTTGTATTCTCCTGTATATATTGTTCTGAAAACAAAAGCATTTAATGTTCTTTTCTTATCGTAGCTCTATATGCAGGTTGATTTATGTGCCGCGAAGCATAATACGTCCCATGAGAATGCTTTGAAGGAGGGAGTGAATCAGGAGGGACATGCCACCCAAACAGAACCTGGAAATGAATGGATGGTGGTGCAAAGAGAGAAAGAAGCTGAGGGGATGGAAGGGTTGGCAAAAGAAGTATGTGAAGCTGAAATCGGTGAATTGCTTGACAAGACAGAAAATGCGATGCAAAACGTATTGGCTTAATTTTTTTTCTTTCCCTTTTTCATTCTTTTATGATTAAATGAATTAATTATATTTCCTTCACGTAAAAGACCTCGAGAACGAAATTGCATGCTTACAGCTTACTCTGTCTATAGAAACTTAGCCAGAAATTTGTGTTTCTTTTTAGACATAGGTTCTATTGCAAAATGTAGGAACAAAATGAAATGGTCTCTTATTTCATCTTATTGTAGAGATTCATCAGAATGCTTCCCAAATCGTGTAAAATATACTGGAGTATTAAGTCAAATTGCTCTTTCAAGTATGTATAAAACATGCTGTGGAATTTTCTTCCCATTTTATTGTTTTACTATGTTTTGTTTGTAAAAATATCAGAACCATCAGAGATGGTGAATTTCCTATGATGAGTTATGGAACATGGACCTAAAGGTTGGGAAAAAATAATGCATGAGCAAGTTTTGAGAGGTTTATGATTAATACGAATATTTTCCTGCATAAAATATATTATTTTTTATACCCCAGAAAGAGGTACATTTTTATTTCTTGCGATATGTGCAGGTTGATTTAAGTGCCAAGGAGCATAATATTTTCCATGAGAATGCTTTGGAGGAGGGGGTGAATCAGGAGGATACGCACTTGCGTGATTCCTTGATGAGATCTGAAGAAGAAAATATTGAACCAGAATCGATGGATGTGAATGAATTTCTTCGAGCTGATGTGGTTAGTAAGCAGATCACATTGAATGCAAAAACATGTAAAGGTGGAAGTGATCATCATATAGAGACTACAGAGGAGGATATCATATGTTTGGAGCACGAGGAAAATGATGAAAGGGAACAGCAGTTATGCAAAAGTAATGCCTCTGAAGACTCTGTATTACAACAATGTGCTCCAACAAATGTTGAGGTATGCGAAATTCATAAAGGAAAGATTCAAGTTGTGGAAACCAATATTTCCAATGATCTTCCTATGGAAGTGTTGGCAAAAGATATATATGAAGCTGAAATTCATAATTTGCTTGACAACAGAGAAAACGTGATGCAAAACATACAGGTTCTTCTTTTTTTTTTTTTTTAATTTTTCTTTTATTTTGTCAGTTTTGTTTCCTCATTCTTATACCACTAAAACAATGAGTAAATCTTATATATACTGAGAGTTTATACACTGTCACTGTTTGATTCATGACATGTGTGCAAGAGAGGAATATTTTGAGGATAAAATTGCATGCTCAATGTGAATCTTATTTGCAATTTGGCTAGAGTTTTTTGTTTCCTTTTACATATAGGTTCCATTCCCAAAATGTGGTAATAAACTAGTCTCGTAATTTATGTTGTAGTAGTTAGATTGCAGGCATTCGTTAGATTAATATGTGCCAGAGGATATTAATTCAAATAACTCTTTCAAGTATTTATCTTGTCAAAATATGCTTTGGGAATTTCTTCCTTGCATTTGGATTATAACTCATCCTTTTTGTATGTTGTGTTCTAATTCCATTGGAAACACCAGAATCAATCTGAAGAAGTAGTTAAATAAACTTGTGATAAATAACGGGGAAAGAGTTTATTTTTTTCTTCTTGCACTATATGCAGGTTGATTTAAAAGCTGACAAGCATATTATTTTGCATGAGAATGTTTTGGGGGAGGAAGAGAATCAGGAGGGGATGAATTCCTCTAAGAGTTGTGGAGAAAATGTTGGAGTAGACGCAACAGTTTGGAATGAAATTCTTGGAGCTGATAACGATAATATGCAGGTCACATCAAATGCCGAACCGTCCAGGGGTGGAAGTGAATATGTTACAGAAACTAAAGGGGAGGATGTTATGTATTTGGAGCATGAGGAAAATGATAAAAGGAAATTCCAGTTAAGTGAAAGTAACATCTCTGAAAGGCTTGTCTTACAGAATTGTACTCCAGGAGATGTTGCAGGAACTGAAGTGCATAAAGAAAAGATTCCAGGAGATGTTGCAGGAACTGAAGTGCATAAAGAAAAGATTCAAGTGGTGGAAACCAATACTTTTCACGATCCCCCAAAGGAATGCACTTCAATTGAGGACCTTTATTCAGCTCATGGTGTTCGATCAACTTGTGAAAATGAGATGCCTTTGAGTGCACCCAACAATAATTTCAATCACTCTATCATAGAACTACCTATTCCGAACTTGGATGTGCATATTGGAGAACTGATCCCTTCTGTTCATACCGAAGCACAGCAAAGGAAGGATGTCCACCCAAGTGCAACTTCTCTAGAAAATTTTGAATCTCAGCCTGATATTGGTATGAATATGGTTGGTTCTTCCTTTGACAATTCGTTAAGGAGCGAGATTTGCAGTCTGAATAATAGCCAGTACGAGCATGTGACTGAAAGTCAAAAGAGGACTAGGAGTGATGATGCGGAAAATAATGAGTCACTGGACCTTGAGTCGTGTACTAAACAGATGGAAGTTTGGATGTCAAGATTGAAAAATGCAGCTAAGAAACGAGCTCGGGCAGATGGTGAAATCAGCGCAATGCTGCTGAGGAAAATTGAGGAGCAGAACAAGATCATTGAAGAGCAGAACAAAATCATTCAACAGTATGAGAAATTGAAGAACAAGGAACAGCAAAAGAAACAGAAGGATATTCGTAGATATGAGCGTGAACTACGTCTCATGCAGGGTGTTCTTTTTGACTACCGGAGGGCTCTGAAAGAGATAGACAAGTCATATTCCAAGTATAGAGAGCGTTGCCAACTTCCTGAAGAGCCACTTTATATGGATGATCCATGTGGTGGTGGTAAAGTTATCCTGGCAGCAGAGTTTAATAGATTGTCACTCGAAAGCCAAAACAAGGCCACTCAAGTCAGCATTGAAGGCATGATGAAGAACTTCACGCATGAATGGGTTGATAAATTTGAAGAATATTTTATTGAGCTTGATCATCTCTGTCATAGGTTGGAAGACGTAGAAATTTCTGTGTCCTCGTTGAAAGGAAAGGTTTTGAACCCTCAGGATCCTGGAACCTGAAAATGCATTCTTGGCTTCTCAATGCACTGGAGGCTTTTGGTTTCGTTTTAACATGCAGGTCTTTGACATATCACAGGTGACTTAGTTTCCTAGCTAGACATGTCTGATAAGTTGGTTGTTTGTATTACAGATGGAAGTAGCTTCTTAGTAGATTATGCTCTTGTTGTCGAAACCTTAATCAAATTGATGATCCTAAAAGTTCGTGTTACGTGGATACTGGTTCTTAACTCTTTCTCCTGACAATGAAAATTAAGTTGATTTTGGCAGTTCAACGTGTGATCCTAGATTGAATATCTTGCAAGAAATTTATGAATCTGCATTTGAGTGAGTGATGGAGCTACGTTGCTGCTTGTGTGCATTTGTCTGTTACAAGAAGTCTCATGGAGCAGGGCTTTCTGATGGAAGGCCAAACCTGCAAAATCACACTCCCTTTCCCTTTGTTTGTGCTGTATTCCTTAGAAAGAGTTGCACTACTCGTAGCTTGACGACTATAGGCATGTATTAACACCTACAACATCTTTAGAGAAAGTAATTGTATTCTAATACTAATCTTGCTATCTAAATTTTCCTGGCAAGAATTGAATTCCCAAGTTTTTTCTCTGTTATTTACATGGTGCCAATCTTTTTTTTTCTCTCTTTCTTTCTCCCTAGAAATATTATTCAAACTTTCACTTGTTTCGAATTCAAGATGCTACGAGTAAAAGCAGAAGTTAAATTGGAAGTCTTGGCGTTCTGAAGTTACCAGACTGCATTCTTTTTCATTCCAAGACAGGAGAGTGTAGAAAGCGTTGTTGGAAGTTCACGTCCTCTTACAGTATAGCGGGCATTTGTTCACGTCCTCTTGGATATAGCGGGGACCGAAGTCCCCGCTATATCCATGCAAAAGTCTCGGTCCCCGCTATATCCATGCAAAAGTCTTGACATTTGACTCTTCAACAATTTTCTTGTGTTCTCATCTTCCTGCAATTGCATCTGAAATGACGTACATACATGTGTACATTTAGTCATTTACTTTAGCTTGAAATATAACGTTGAAAATAAACACAAAATCAAAAAAAAAAAAAAAGAAAAAGAAAGGGTGCTTCTTAAACTTTCTGACCCCCCCCCCTCTGAAAATAGAAGATCAAAATTTTGACCTTTCAGAAAAATCAAATTTTAGATCAATGTATTTCAACATTTACCCTCAACAGGAGAACATCAGGACAATGCTATAGTGCCTATAGTTATGGTAACGATATTAGGGAAACCTACAATAGTAGGTTTCTATTACCTTTAGTGACAGATCAAATTTTTTAGCGACCTTTTTAAATATTATACGTTACTAATTAATATTAACTTTAGTAAGTTTTTAATTAAAACTAGTAAGTATATGCCTGAAAGATAAGTTTTAGTCAGAAATAGAAATTTACACTTTGATAATTTAATTTACTTATTATTTGACAAAATTTACTTATATTTAAATTAAACTTACTAATACTAAAAGTAAAAAATGTACATATTTAAGTTAAAAAGTCACTCGTTTCTGAAAACGATTTTGGGTTCCTGAAACACTTTTGGGTTTCATCTCTTTAAAGTCATCTACCTTCTTCTTACTTAGTTTTCAGTTCCAACGATACGATTGAATTCCCAGGCAAAGGTTTCCACTTTGGTCTACATTTCTCTTGGTTACAATTGAATAAATTTTCTCACTTCAAAATTTTCATCTTTAGTTCAAACTTTCCCTCTATCCTTTCTCATCGATCGACTGTTTTTGGGTGCTGCCATATGCAGACACAATAAAAGGGAGCATCTGTTACTTCGATTCGACTCATCATTTAGGTTGGGAACAAGGTCCTCCGGGTGACCAATTAATAAATTCTCCGAATCAGATTCTGTTTTTTGGGTGTTGATCGGCTGTTTTTGGGTGCTACCATATGCAGACACAACAAAAGGGTTTGCGACGGTGGTAGCCAATCAAAGAGCATATGAAAAATAGTAGTGACGAGGTTAGACCATCATGTCCTCTTGAAATCGTTTGATTATATTGCTGTAATTTATTTATATTTCATTTGTTTTGTTTGTCAAGACTTTCTTGCGAAATCAAGGCTGAGAATTTGAAGATTTTTCTGCAATTTTGGGGCTGAAAATGTCCACCGAAACATCTAGGAAATGGTTGTAGTTTTGATTGTCTACGGGTAAAATATGCTTAATAGCCATATGACTAGGCGTTTAAGTTAAATGTGATTAATTTGTGAATGCATATAAGATGTTTGGTGAAATGTCAAAGAGAAATTTCTGTGTTATGATTGCTACTCTGTGCGGGTGAGAAAATTAAAAGTTCTAATTGCCAAATGGAAATGGCAGTCAAATTGTTAAAAATCTGATGGGAGGCTTCTTAAATTACTCCTTTTTAAGCATACCATTCACTTTCAGCCGGCACATCCTACAAAATATTTGCACTGCAGTCCGCATTTGGGAAATTAATTCAAACCAAGATATCGGAAATATTTCCCCTAAGAATTACTCTGGATGCAAATACTAAAACTCTAAACAGAAATGATGTTTATGATTCTTTAACAAGTCAAGAAATAGATGGACCAACCATTTTTATGGATGAGAATTTGTACTTACCAGTAAGTTTAGCTTGCCGTCGAAGGTGGAAGAGACGTTCTTTATTAGTTCCTCTCTTTTGTTCTTGAAGCCTTATCGCAAGTTGAACCATAGAATTTGAAACCCTTTGCTCCCCATTCTTGCAGCCTTTCATTAAGTTCCTTTTGGTTTCATGAACATGTGTATACTATGGCTCCAAATCCTGCTAACTCTTCCACTATGGAATGGCTGAAATTTTGGGTCAAATAGTTAAAATGGGGACACGCATTTTGGATGTTGCATTAAAGCTACTAGGGACATAATCGCACATATATACTAGAACAAGTGAAGGAAGTAAGGATTTATGTATATGAAACAAGATATGACCGTGATTGGGTAGGTTTTTCTGCTCATTAAAAGTTGTCCAATTGGTTGTTAACAGTTAACATACCCTTTTGAGGAGTGAATGAGAAAACTAATGTTGAAATGAATTTACTAATTTTTTGATATAAATATAAATACCAGGAACTATATTTGAAGAAATTTGCATTAGATGGACCTTTGTTTAGTCTAAGTACTAAATAAATTGGTGAGTAGATTCTTACTGATGCTCAAAATGAGCCGTTTTCTCCTATTTTGAAATACCAATTTTATATAAAATGTCGTGAGGCATGTAGAATTTTGTTGTTTACTTCAAATTGGACTGGCATGTCCCCTTTTATTGAAGATGCACAAATAATTGTCTGGGATGGTATATTACATGGGATTGAATCTCCCCCTTCTTTTTGGTTCAAGGGTAACTGAAACAAAATAGGAAACAGTGTTGCAAGATATCTAGGTAAAACTATTCATTTCTCTTCTGTTGATAATATTGATCATCTACTTCAAACTGTTTGTTCTTACTCCTAAAGCTAGTATTGTTGGTTTACTGGGCAAAGAAGGTTTGGACTCTCTAGGATTCTTGGGGTTCTTCTTTTGTATGGCAGCCATATGCTTGATCTTTGATATTATTACTTATTAAATCTCAGATCATTCTTAGATATTTGAGAATATTATTAGATAATTTTAATATTGTCTTGATGATTGGAGAAGGGTGGTTTGGTTTCTCTGAGTTGTTCTTGTGGCTTTCAGCCTTATTCTTGATTTTTATTCTTATGTTCTCAAATAAATGAATTATCTACTTCGATTTTTTCGAGCATTAAAATTGGTACAGATGGTTTACTATAGAAATGTTTCTCACATGGCTTGTTCTGCTGCTAAAGCTTAGGGGCTTGAAGCACGCATACATTTTACTGTTATTCTTGTCATCATTTGGTTATTTCCGCTTCCAGATATGCTAAAACTGAAAGTCATGTTCTTTTTCAGGACTGGATATCTCAACGAGATGGAATAAGTGAAATGAAGCAGGGACGATTAGCATTAATCATGAAATTCCATATGGATGGTTCTAGTCAAACATGGGGTGCATCGGACACAGTCTCTCTTTTGGTCTTAGTTGTTATAGGTGTTTTCTGATTACGCTACTACTTTTGTAGTTGTGACCCTGTCACATTTTGTTCAGCTTAGTCAGGGACTATTATGCAGTAGTTGTTCTAATGCTTAACCATGATAAAACCTCGGTAGTTTTATATAAGTAGCTACTTACTACATGCTACATTTTGCTGTAAAGTACTATGGAGGATGCCCTTACCACATTAATAGGGGTGTAACATCCATTCTGTCGTAGGAGCACGTACTCTTATTGAGTTCTGCGAGCATTGGAAGTTTTTACTCCGAAAAGAATGTATCACTTCGTTTCGACCAAAAAAAAATTGTGGTGCTTTCCTATATAGACTGACGGCACTTTTATGAGAGAGCATCGGCCTTTGTGAATTTAAGTGCCGCGATTTCCTCAGTAACCCATTAGCAGAAGTCCAAACAAATAGTATCTTCCCACGTCATCTACGAATAAACAACTAATCCACTTTTCTATTTAATGACAATTTGCCATTAGGAATAATGTTTGCAAATTTCTTTTGATTATATTTAGGGGTGGTAATTTCTGATACGACCTGAAAATACGATATGAACCTAACACGAAATTAATTGATTCGGATTGAGATTTCGCGGATTCTGGTCAGAATCGAGTCGAATCCGACGAACCCGAAAAGAAAACGGGTCGAATTCGGGTTAAACCATGGGTGATCCGATACGACTCGATCACCTTTTTATGAATTAAAAATTATTTTACCTAACTAAACTAAGTTATTCTTTTTTTTTTCAAAGGCATTAATCACTTAATCCTAAATGAATTTATTTAACTTATTTGAAGTTGAAATTATTATATTTGGACAAATAATGTATTATATTATTTTTTTAGTTTTATACTGCTTTTATTTATTTTATATTTGGTTTGGAATAAAACGCTTTTAAGGTGTTTTTAATTTATTCTAGATTTAGTTTGGGATTATTTATTTAAATTTTTATTACTTGATTATGTAATTAGTCTTGTGCAAATTAGAAATTACAGTGGTAAATTAATAAATTAAAATTATATTTTGGGTCATTCGGGTCGTCCCGCTAACCCGACAACCTGGAATTTTTAGATTCGGGTCAGATATCTTGACCCGTTTCGGGTTGGCGGGTCAAGTTCGGGTCAGCCAGTTTTCTATTATACATGAGTCTCAACCCGACCCGCCACTCCGATTTGGATCCGATTGCCACCCCTAATTATATTGGTAAAAAAATAACATATTTTACAAATTATTCCAATTTATTTAGAAAATGTTACTAATTTCATTAGAAATTATGAAATGTAATCACGGTTTATTAATTTTTTACTAAATATAAATACTACATACAAAAGGAAAAGATATTTGACTTTGTTTTACTTTGATTAGAAAAACTTGTGGTAGAAATAACGAATTAGTGACAGGGGTGCAAATTTCAAATCAACAACCAACGTACACTTAATTACGATAATTTTTTAGTTGACCAAACTAATATATGCCATAAAGTAGTAAGATTTGATCATTTTTTAATTGGCAATTTTAGCAGTTTATATACCATTCACCTATAAAAATTATGATTATTATAAAATGACATTTTATAATAATTTACATACTATTTGCCAATTAAAAGTAAGTTTGATAAAAAAAAATGCATATAAATTCATATTGTAAATGATACAAAATATATTTGAATCTCACGAAACTTAATATGTGGGTAAATTTACTATAGTTTTCAAAGATTATGCCACATTAGTACAAATTTAACTTTTATACTTGTGACCTAGAAAATAAATTTATTAGAACACATAACCTTTGTAAATGATACAAACATTTATTAAAATGCTTAAAACACATAACATTGATGAATGATACATACAATCATATATTATACATTTACGTTACCAACAATTACTAACTATAATATTAAGTTTCAATCATTAATAAAAAAAATCTTAGCATTATTTTAAATAAACTTCCTAATACTTGTTTCATATAAGTTTCTTTAAGTAAAATAGTAAATTTATGCCACAAACTAGTAAGTCTTGATGATTAACCAAATTTACTATTCTATCAACAGGATTTACTATTAATCCGTGAAACTTACTATTACGTGAACTAAACTTACTCTCCAAAAAGTAAGTTTCGAATATAGAGTAGTAATTTATTTTTTTTAAAAAGAAGTAACTTTCATTTTTATTTCAATTTACTTCTTAAGACATAAATAGGATAACACTTAGATGACCATTTTCGATTTATTTTTTATTTGCTTTTAGCGACCATTTGATTATTTGATAGGTCTATCCACCTAATTAGGATAACACTTAAAAATAAGAATGTAAGTTTTCTATCTAAAATAATAAGTTAACAGTAATAAATTAATAACTTTTATACTTCAAAAGGTAAGTTGGAATGAATATTAAACTTACTTTTTAAATAAATAAATTACTACTTTATATCCCAAACTTACTTTTTAGAGAGTAAGTTTAATTCAAGTAATAGTAAGTTTTTATACATAAATAGTAACTCTTACTAATAACATGGTAAATTGATTAATAATCAAAACTTACTGATTTATGGGACACATGTGCTATTTTATTTTAAAACATATTTCAAACTAGTATTAGGAAATTTATTTGAAATAACGATAAGATGTTTTATTAATGATTAATTCTTAGTACTTTAGTTAGTAAGTACTCATAATATACCTGTATAATACATGATTATAGGTATAATTTTAAAAAATTATTTATATATTTTAAAATACTATGAAAAATAGTTTGACTTTTCACATAATCTTGTGAAATATGTAATAAAATTTTGTCGTATTATAAGCTTTTAATCATTTTCAATTTTTGAAAAGTTTGAAAGTTCGAATAACAATAACAACAAATCCTCCTAGTCATATATAGAATATTACTTGTTTATATATCAAAATTTTTATAATTTAACACCTATGAATATAATAAGATGATAAAGTTTTAATAAATTTACATCTGAGACACAAGAAATAATAAGAGTAAAAGCCTAAACAAAATGAGAAATAATATAATAATAAAAATGACAAAATTAGTATAACAATTAATATAAGAAAATCAGTATGATCTGGTTTTTTTCCCTTGGGAGATTGTTCATAAGAATAGGATCCAATAATTATAAATGAAAATCACATGCATGTATAATCTATTGTATAATTTAAATTAAATTTAGTTCACCTATAAAATGTTCCTAAAATAATTAGTACACTATGATATATGTTATTTTAACAACAAAATTTTTTTTTTTACTAAAAGTCTGAAATATCCATAACATATGTATGAGGGATATTTTACCATATTTGTATCTCACATCTAATCATGAAAGTTAATTTGAGAAAAACTATTTTTGACAATAGAATTATTTTGAATTTAACCAACGAGTTGAGATTTTTTAAACAATAAAAGTGAAATATTTTGGGAACTTAGTTGTTTATTTTCCCATAATTAAAAATTTAAAATATGACAAATTATTCTTACATATTTTATAAGGTCATATGCAAAAAAAAAAAAAAGAAGTTTTCATAGTATGTTTAAAATGCTTCAAACATATAACATTTATAAATGATACGTACAATTGTAAGTTTCTTTAAGTAAAATAGTAAATTTATGCCACAAACTAGTAAGTCTTGATGATTAGCCAAATTTACTATTCTATTAACAATATTTACTATTAATCTATAAAAACTTACTATTATTTGAACTAAACTTACTCTCCAAAAACTAAGTTTCAGATATATAGTAGTATTTTACTTCAAAAAAACAAAAGTTAGTTCCATATTTATTCAAGTTTACTTTTTGAGACATAAAAGTTACTAATATATCGAGTTAACTTACTATTTTTTATGCAAAACTTACTAACCAGAATTTTAGGTACTATTTCATTTAGATGACCAGTACAACAGGTAATCAAATGGTCGCTAAAAGTATTTTTACCTGTTATATCAGGTAAAAATAGTTTCGTTACCATAACTATCGTTACTTCAGACTTTTCCGTGTACATTTAGTCATTTACTTTAGCTTGAAATATAACGTTGAAAATAAACACAAAATCCAAAAAAAAAAGAAAAAAGAAAGGGTGCTTCTTAAACTTTCTGACCCCCCCCCCCTCTGAAAATAGAAGATCAAAATTTTGACCTTTCAGAAAAATCAAATTTTAGATCAATATATTTCAACATTTACCCTCAACAGGAGAACATCAAGACCTTAAGGAGGTTTTGGGAATGATCAAGGCTTGGGGTAGTGATAAAATCATTGGGATAGTCAAATAATTGGTTCGCTCTTTGTGATACTTTACATGTGCAACTCTCAACTATACATATTCCTTATGCTGATGATGAAAATCTAAGACCCAGTTTTGACCGAGTCTTTTGCAAAAAAAAAAAAATAATAATAAATTTGAAATAGTTTTTCGACATATAATGGAATAACCTTTTCACCTTACATTCACACACATGCAGTGTATTTTTTCTATAAAAATTTTCAAAAACTCTAATCCAAACAAGCTCTAAAGTGCCAACTTGTAATTGGGATACCGAAAAATCCTATTTTATTCTAAGGTTTAAAAATTCGACTAGATCAAATGAATATTTTGACACATTATTTTGAATTTTTTTAATAAGTAAACGAGATTCAAACCTTTGATCTACAATTTAAAAAGAGATTTAATTTTTTATTTTTTTTTTGGTGAACATTGAGCCAAAGCTCGGCAGTTGAGATTAGGATGTACGCGAACCGAATCATAATCGAGTAGTTCGGTCAACGGCTTGGCTCGAACTCGGGTTGACCGAGTTCGAGCCGAGTCTCGAGCTGCTCGATTGTCATTCGAGTCGAGTTTCGAGCCAATATTTTGTCGAGCTACTCGTCGAGTCGAGAGTATTTAAATAATATATTTATAATTTAAATAATATATATGTATTATAATTATAAAATGACCATTATGAGTATAAGTTTTACGGAATTTACATTCGAGTCGAGTAAAAAAACTCGATTAGACTCGACTTGATAAGACTTGACTAAAGATCGAGCCTTATCGAGTCGAATCTCGAGTTTAAAACGAGTTTTTCGAGTCAAATTTCGAGTATCGATTTTTGTACTTGGTTGAACTCGAGCCTAGGTATATATGAGTCGAATCGAGTTCGAGTACAGCAATACTTGAGTTTGACTTGGCTCGATTACATATCTAGTTGAGATGCCCCGAGTGCCAGGGCACTTACATTTGAGAATATCTCAAGCCGCCATGTGTCTGAAATATAGCACTGAACAGGCCAAAATCTTCTTTGGTGGTCA